GTTGACACCCCTAATGTCTGTGTTGTTTAAGGGTCAACTGTGTATTACATACCAAATGTTAAGAGTGGTTTTCTTGCCTTGGCCAGTTTGGCTCTGCAGTTAGAGTGTCGGCCCATGGACCAAACGGTCTCAGGTTCAATTCCCGGTCGGGCACATACCTAGGTTGCAGGTTCCCCATCGCAGCAGGCGACCAATTGATGTGTCTCTCTCACATTGATGTTTCTCTCTCCCCCTCCTCCCTCCCACTCTCTCTAAATCAATGGGGGGGGGGAATATCTTCAGCTGAGGACACACAAAAAAAGTGGTTTTCTCTGGGTAGTGGGATTTTAGATGACTTGTTTACATATAAACAGACATAAAAAAACTTTTTATTTATATGTAGTCTCTAATTTTTCTAGTATGGGTGGCTCCTTTGATGTTCCTTCTTCAAAATAGTCCCTATAATTGTGTTACATTTATGAGCACTCCTCCTCAGTCCAGAAGGCTGACTCTGACTGTAATCTGTTTTTCCCCAGAGGAAAAGAAATCCTCCAAGGAGCACTGGGCTGTTTGCTCGTTTCCCTCTCATTAGATGGTGTTATGGTGTTTCCATCGCTCTCGAAAGAGTTTGGTAGTGTGAGTAGGTTCTATGTACCAGATCACCTCCCAGTGTTCCAGTCAAATTGAGGGTCTAGACCTGTAATTGGACCCTAAAGGCCATTCAAGGCAGTTCTAGCCTCAGAGACCCTACCTGGAGACCCAACAGGTCACCTGGCAGAGGAGGGCAGATAAGAAAATCCCAAGAGACACAATAAACCTGAGACTGAGGAGACTGATGAGGTTACAGGCCTTGCCCGAGGCCACTAGCTGGAGCCAACACCAGGAATACAGCTCAGGCTCCAGCTTGTCATCCGACCGCCTCCCCCAGCCCTCAGGGCTGCCTCCCAGGCAGGACAGGACTCCGGAGCTTGCTTCTGTGTTCAACTGTTGCCACAGAAGTACAGACAGGAGAAGATGAGCAGTCAAGGCTGGAAAAACAGATACAGCTGCACCCACCAGTGAATAAACAAGCTATCTGCACCTGCTGGACAGGCGGGACTTGGTAACTAAAAGGCGGACTAATTTTAGAAATGCGATGAGTCTGAACAACCATCCCTTAGGCAATCAAAATGGGAGCCCTGAAAAGAAAAAGTCCTTACCTCTGCCTTCTTGAAGCTGACACAAAATGAACAGTCTTCGGATTGACTCAATTTTCATCAGTTATCTGAGATCAAGACATACCATCCTGATCCAGGAAAAAGTGCAAGGCCTTTAAGTGCAGCCAAGCCACGTGGCCACTACACAGTCCCTGCCACCCAGTTGGAAGAGTCTTATTTCAGACACAAATGCCTGCTGGCCTCGCTGGCCCAGGGGAGGAGCTCAGCCTGCAGCCAGGCTTTGCCCAAGTCCCCCAGTTCACGGGGGAGAGCAAACCTCTACACTCCCAAGAGAAAGACTTTGCCTTTCTGCCTTTACATGCTCAGAGCTCCTATATATACCTGCATATATTCTAGAGCCTTCCTCATTTTCCCTCAGAGCCATGAGGGCCCTGTCTCTGCATCATTTCAACTCCTAATTTTACAGGGCAACCTCAATTCTTTTAAACAAAGTACTGCTGGGTAAAGAACATTAGTTGCAGTAACCTTAGTGGCAGTGTGGCATTCTTCTAGAGGCCACCTGGATGGAATCAGTCAAAAGAAAAAGGCCAAAAGCCAATAGACATGCGGCAGGTAATTAATTAATCCTGGCATGAGACCCCATAATTGCAACTGATTGGATGCTGCCATAAACACCCTTTTAAAGGGCTCGTAGTAGTAAGAAGTTGTGTGACAGGAACGATGAAAGAAACCAGAAAAATAGAACAGTCCAGTGGATGTGCCCCAGTAAAGGGGAGGTGGGGGTGGGGGGCTGGTGTCAGCCGACCAGCACTGCCAATCACATGGGGCTGGCGTCTGTGACAAGGACATGAAGTCCCCAAAAGTGAGGAAGAGTGGGAACAAATCTAATCAGTATTTTAAATTATGATACATGACATAGTATGTGGAAGTTGAGCTAAATTCATTTTACTCTAAATGGACATCTGACCTGAAGAATCTACCCCTGCTGGTTGGGATAGAAGAGCTATTTTGGATCTTCTTAGAAAAATGGGAGTTCACGTTATTTTTAGCCATGTGTATATTGCTCTTTGACTCATACATCAGGAGACCACGTTTCAGGCCAGAAATGTCATTAGAAATGACAAAGTCTCAGCTGACATTCATTTAGTCTTGAAACACTTACTAAGCACCCTCCTAAGGCAGGACCAGGTGCAGTGCTGAGATAACAGCGGGCAGGGCAAGCGCCCTCCGGCTGCTCCCCAGCCGCAAGAGATGCCACGATCCATGTGAGCCCAATGCCCGTTCCACTGCATGTATCTCTGCCATCTTTTCCCACACATTCACCAAAGTGTTTTTCAAAATATGCTTGGGCAGGATTTTACACTCCCAACAAAGGGCTTTCGCACAGTGTTATTCCATCGTGTGAGGTTACATGGATTCCTGCACCCGGAACAAAAAGAGAAAGGAACACTGAAATGATCTGACCAGTCCTCTGCTTTTATCTCGGTGAAGGCAAGGCTCAGAAGGGGAACGGAACCCAGGGGTGCACATGCTGTCTCCTCAGGGAGAATGTCACTGCCTTTGAGTTCACAGGCCACTCAAGGACTTTACATGGTAGGAGCAACTAACTTTAGAACCTAACCACTGAATGTTCATCTGGGAATTCAACTCTGTATTCAAAACTGTACTTGCCGCCCAGCTGGTGTTGCTCAGCGGTTGACCACTGACTTATGATCCAGGAAATCACAGCTGGATTCCCAGTCAGGGCACATGCCCAGGTTGCAGGCTCAATCCCCAGTAGGGGGTGTGCAAGAGGCAGCCAGTCAATGACTCTCTCAACACTGATGTTTCTCTCTCTCTCTCTCCCTCTTCCTCTCCCTTCCTCTCTCTGAAATCAATAAAAATTTTAAAAAAACCCGTACTTTCCACATTTGGAATGACAGAGTGCAGACTGTGGTCCCTACACCTCGGGACTCCACCATCATCTTTCTGCCTTAATGGACCTTCCATGGAGGGGGGAGGGAGAGGGCTGTAAAACACAGCAACAGGTCCAATATACAGTATGGCAGATAGGGAGGCTTGCTGTTGAGGAGCAAAGCACAGGAAAAGAAGAGCTGCGGCCTGCTGTTTTAAGGAGGGAGGGTTTCTGTGAGCAGGGAACATTCAGACAAAGATATGACAGAGGTGAGGAGCGAGCCATGTGCACAGCTGTGGAAAGGTCCAGGCAAAGAAAAGCTAAGTGCAGAGGTCTGGAGTACGCCCACACAGCCCCGGGGGCTGGGTAGAGTGGGTGCCAAGAGAGTGAGAGGAGCTGAGGGCAGAGAGGCTTAGTGGGCAGCTCGGGGAGATGGGCCAGGTCCTCAGCTACTGAAGGATGTCCACCTTTACTCCAAGTAAGATGAGGGACTGAGAAATCAGGTTGTCCCATGGTTCTCCACGTCCCACACTGTGCCTAGTGTACTCTAAATGGGTCCCCAAAAGTCCTGATATCAATAATTGGCTGTTGGAGGCAGGGAAGCCTACAGGGGTTGGCCCCTACCTACAGCAGGCACAGCTTCTTTCTGGCCAGTTTGGGGCTACAATAGGGGACATGGGTCACAGTGTGGCCCCCACACTCCCCAGGCAAAGCACGTAAACATACATGTAACCTGACCTGTCTGCATGGAACAGACACTGTGCCCTAAGCCTCAGGCTGCATGGCATATGGAGGAGGGGGCATGGGTCTGAGTGCTGAGCATGGCCATGTGGTCATGTAGTCATATGATCACGTGAGGCCTTCTGCCTGGAGCAGCACAGAATTCTAGTTCTAAGATAAACCAGTTTTATTCAGCAGAGCCATCACTACCCAAGTTTATTTTTTCTTTCTTTCAAATGACTACCTACTTGAAAAGATTTATGATTCCTGACTCCTTAATTCAGCCAACATTCCATGGAGATCACTCACCTGGGGTCCCAGCTCTCAGGTTGCTACAAATCCAGATGAAAAGCCAGCTCACACTTGAAAAGAATTTACAAAAGATACTCAGCAAAACCCCAATGAGAATCCGTGACATTAGGTGCTTCAGGTGAGACAAGGGGTGGTCTGTGTGTGGGCCCTACATAGCCTCTGTAGGAAGGCGGGCAGAGGTTCCATGCCTGGGCCAACAGAGTCACTAAGAATAGGGGGGACAGAGAAAGTTGTGGTCGGGCCTAGCCTTCCCATGCAGACTGGCAGATCCTGGAGGGCAGAGACAGTATTTGGGGCCAGTCCCTCCACAGCCCCAGGTAGCACATCACAAGGAACACAGCCTGGCTGGTACTCCTGGGCAGAAGGCTCTCTTCCCCATCTCGTGGGCCCTGTTTCAGATAGCAGCACTCCCATCACCACTATGGATGTCTGAGTGGCCTTCCAGACTTCTCTACACCTTAATCCTTGACCTGTCAGCAAGCATTGCTAATGCCATTGCTCAAAAAACTCTCAGATCCACCATCTCATCTACTGGTCTGGTTAAAGGAGCAAAGTCTGGCCCTGGCCCTGTGTTCAAGGTCACTCTCTCCCACACTGCACTCCAGCCTCTAGACTGTAACTTGCCCTTCTCCAAAACACATCCCATCCGCCCCCACCAGTGGACCCCTCCACAGATCACTTTCTCAGCCTCCAAACACTCTCCCAACCTCTATCCAGCAAACCAGACGCTTTCCTGTAATTCCCTGCCAGGGAATCTTTCGTCCGTTCCTCTCCTCCCCCACCAGAAAACAAGGGGACTCTCCCACTTGTATTAGCACATGGCACAGGGTTGTTAAATAAGCAAATCCATGAGATTTGGGGTTAACTTAAATTAACTAGGCTTCCCACGCTATTATCCTTAACCCAAGTGCCCAACCCCCCATAGCCACTAGGCCAACCTCAGCTGAGATGCAGTCCACGCTTCTTGATGAAAGTGCTTTTGTTTATGGCCAAAAATCCTCACTTGAGTCACAGTCAACTCCATGGAGCAGTTCTCACAATGGGGCTGGGAGAGCCCACATTTCCCTCAGCCCCTGTGGCTTCCGGAGAGCTGCTCTCTGTTATTCAGCAGCCTTGGGCAAGCCACTCAGCAGCTCTGTCTGTGCTACCTCCTGGAGCCCCTGTGATGACACAGAGAGCACCGTTGGATAGGCACAAAGCACATACAGAGGGTGCAAACTGCAAATGAAATTTCATTCCCTGCTGTTTCCCCCACTTGTAACCTGTAAGGCTACTGCTCTTAATGCTAATTCAAACTAGGACAACAGTATTTTACTTCTTCCTGAATTAATAAGGGGTTGGGACTCGCCTCGGACCCCACCCAGGGAGACTGGTCCATGCTTCTCTACCACCCTGCACCCCTCTCTGGCCTCCAGTTCTCCTTGCAGGAAAAAGCAGACACGAACAGATCTGAATTCAGACTGAATCAACACATACTGAATACATTACATACCTAGCATGTTCGCAGTTTTTACTGGATCCTCATGACACCTCCTTGTGGTAAAAAGAGATGGTGCTAGATCACCCAGAAGACAGACATGCAGGGGCTCATAGCACCCACAGATCAGGAGCACCAAAAAGGTGATGAAAAATGTCTTCTGGAAAAATTATGCTACCAAAAACACATCAGCATTGCTTCATGGAAAGAATCAGAATGCCACTGACTTCCTTACCCTGCACTGCATGGTTTTGTACTTAGTCTAACATTAGGAGACCCTAGTCTTTTCGGCACACACAGGGGACATAGGTCTTCATCTGGCCTGGGTGTTGCTTTTCACCATTCACAGACAGGTAGCAAGTGAGGCTCTGGGAAGGCAAATGCTTGTCACACAGCTTGGAAGTAACAGATGGGCCTCCAGGTGTGGTCTGGCAAATCTGGGCATTTCTGGTCCCAGGCCCTCATCATCACCACCAGAGCCTGCTGACTCACAGAGTAGTGGGCACGGGGCAGGTCTGATGGCTCAGGAGTGACCTACCTGCATATCCCTAAGCGGGTGACCCTCTTAGGGGGAGGGGTTCTGACCTAAGTCCCCACCCAGCACCCCCTCTCCTCTGCAGCACTAAAATGCAATGCAGAGAGTCGGCTTCCCAGGGATCCTCTGAGTCCTGGTTGTGTAGAGATGAGGAGACAGAGCCCTTTGGGGGGTCCTAGCAACCAGCACATTTCCGTTCTGTGAATTCTATTTCCAAGTACCCTCATAAACCTCCTGCCACCACTGCTGACCTGGCTTACCTCTCTCTCCCACTAAGGACCAACATTTTCTGCAGGAGTTTCCACCGTTAGCTGCCTTCTCACCAGCAAGACTTCCTTCCTCAACATAAGGACAGAAACATCAATATAAGATGCCATAACTTTAAGAGCCACATTTCTCTGTGTCCTCTATGAGTAAAAATGTATGTTTCTGAAAGTGAAGACGAATTTTTACAGGACCTGTCTCTTCCCTCTGTCTCAGACAACTGAAGAGGGTTAGGGGTTAGTGTCTGTGGCTATGGAACAAAGTACCCGAGCCCAAGAGGGCTGGGCCCACTGGGCTATGCAGCCCTGTTCCCCTAGAGCTTTAGAAAACATACCAAACCAGCAGGTTCAAACTGGGCAAGCTAAGCTTATAGTGTAAAGAGTAGAAACAGAGCATGCAAGCCGATAACATAATTCTATTACTGACAACGTGATCTGCTGGGGAACCTGGCCAATCAGAGCACATTCCATTAGCTCCCCTTCAGAACAATTTTGGTCCCTGAAGTATTATTCTGTCACACAATCCATGCTTCTGCTCTTCTGGTGATTTAAAATCGCTGTTTTTAAATCTTTGTAAGAGCCCATGTAAAACTCTTTCTTGGTTCCAGAGGCCGAGCCATGAAAAAACCTCCAGGTCCTCAGGGATGGAAGACAGATTTTGAAATACCCAGGGCTTACGTTAGTTAAAAAACAATAAGCAAGAAGAATTCCAAGATGCAATTATAAGCATGACTATTTGGGAGGAAACTAGACTGATGTTTGCAACTTTGACACACATAGAAAGATAAGATGGACTGTTGGGTGGTTAGATTTATGATAAAAGATGGTAAAATGTTATACATTCTAGATGGGTATTCACTGTGAAATTTCTTCGACTTTCCTATATGTTTGAAATTTTTCATAATTAAATGTGGGGCAGAGAGCAAGGCAGAGCTGGCATACTTCTCCCTACCCAACTCTTAGGTCAGCCGTAAGGGAAAAAACAAAGTACACACTTGCCTAGGCACTGCCCCAGCGGCAGGCCCCAGAATACACACAAAACTGATAAAAATGCCGTGCCCTGGGTTCTCCACCCTTCTCACTCTAGGACAGACGTTCTCAGTCTCAGGCGTGCCTGAGGATTATCTGGGGGGCTTATCCCGTCGCTGCTGAATCAGAACCTCCAGGAGTGGGCCCCAGGAATTGTCCCTTTTAACAAGAACGTCGGTGATTCTGATGCAGAGGATCCTAGGCCCACACTTGGAGAAACTTACAGCTGCTTGCTCCTCACCTGACACCTGTTGAGAGACCTCCTGGGAATATTTAGAGGAAAACAGAAACCCATAAACAAGTGCGCAAACCCGGGTTCTCATGACGCGTGAGTTCAACTGTACCAAGATCCTGGATGGCACAAAGCTGGGCCCAAAGCCAGACCAGGTCACTGCCTCCCAACCTGGCCCAGGCGCGTGCGGCCCAGCGGACACAGGGATTTATTGATGCTGGCGAGGCAAGGCCAGGAGGGAGGGAGAGCGAGAGCAAGGCCACCAAGGAGCTCAGCTGGGACTTCTTCGTCGCCTGGACTCTCCTCACAGTCCCCTTTCCTTGAGAAAACAGCCATCGCGGAAAACCGGACATTGTATTTCCCCCAACCTTCCCTACACAGGATGTGGGAGCTGTGATAAGCGGGACGCCGAGGAGCACCGGAGGCACCCAGTCCCCGCGGCCGCCCGCCCCGGCCGGGCTAAGCTGTCACTGCAGCCCCGTGGGTGGCCAGCCAACCCAGCGAAGGTACGACGTCAAAACCCCAAGAACAGCTCTGGATCGCATGAACGTCCCTGGGAGCAGGAGAGGGACCCGCTGCGCCGACCCCGGGGTCCCTTTACCTCGAGAGGCCGGGCGTCCGCGGCTGAGCAACGCCGAGAAGGGCCGAGGACAGCGCTCCAAAGACTAGACCCTTAGCCCCGCGGGGCTCACGCGCACAACCTCCCCCCACCGCCTGCCAAAAGGCTTCTGGGAGATGTAGTCCATCCCTGCGCCCAGGCGCAACCTGCGCACCGTGGGGACTACAGTGTCCAGCATGCAACCGGCCACGGCGCGGGCGGCAAGGGGTCTCGGCGGTCCGGGGTCATAACCCCCCACAGGGGTACGAGCGCCCAGCCCAGCTCGCGGGAGGTGCCGACTTGCGTGGCCGAGTGGACTCACCCTTTCCCTGGCTCCTGCGGCCACCGCCACAGCTCTTCACGCGCTCTGTCCCTAAGGAGGCAGCTAGGGTTCGAAGCGGGGCTGAGGTTTGTAGCATCAGGGAGAGGGGCGGAGCCGTGAGGTCACCGTGGGGGCGGGTGGGGGCGGCACGTGCCAAGCCCTGGTGAGCCCTGTCGTCTGGTGAGAAAGTGACTGGAATGTAGGAGAAGGACCTCGTTAGCCTTGCTCTTTCTCCGGGCTGCATTTTCCTTCTGGCGCTGTACACCCTGTAGGCATGCAGAGTGGGAAAGGTTTCTCTTGCCTGGCGTGCACTTTCCCAGCTGAGATTAATAAGACAATACTCTGACATTATTCCAGGGGTGCGGAACCTATTTCTGCCAAGGGCCATTTGGATATTTATAACATCATTTGTGGGCCATACACAATCAACTTAAAAATAGAAAGCCATGAAAAAAAAGCTCCTAGATTTATTGAATTTCAAGTCCTGCCTGAGGTTGCCTTGGCAGGGCCAGACCAAATGATTATGAGCCGGATGTCCCCACCCCAGGTTTAAGCGCTAATACTGAAAACAAGTGTCTTTTGTGTATGTTTAGTGGCATGTCTTTCTCATTCTTATGCTTTCTGGTTTGTGTTTAAATGGTTCCCCAGCGGCTCAGTTGGTTAGAACATCCTCCTGTACACCAAACCATTGCTCCTTCAATCCCGGTCAGGATTCGAACCCTGGTCTGGCACATAATGGAAATCGATCAATGGATGTTTCTCGCTCTCTCCCCCTCTCCCTCTTTCTCTCACCCTGAAAATCAATAAAAACATATCCTCGGGTGAGGATTAAGAAGAAAAAAAAGGCTCTCAGGCATAGTGCTGAAGCACTGCCTAGTGTTCCTAAGTCCAAGAAAGCTGTGATGTGCCTTACGAGAAAATGGGTGTGTTAGATAAGCTTCCTACAGGCATGTTAGTAAATCAATAATAAATATTAAACCAGTGTCTTTAAATAGAAACACTCATAAAACATGGTTATGTATTGATCAGTGTGCAAATGTGATCAGAATCTGGCAAAAACCTTACCCGGCATTTCCCCAGGAGCAGTGGTTCAATAGTCACTAATTCAGTGCTTGCAGCAAATTTATGGACCATAACCACTAATAATGAGACTCAACTATATTTGATTCGATTGACGTTTTAAAGAATCATTCTGGCCCTAGCTGATTTTGCTCAGTGGTTAGAGCATCGGCCCTCGGACTGAAGGGTCCTGGGTCTAATTCCGGCCAAGGGCACGGACCTCAGTTGCAGGCTCAGTGGCCACCCTGGTCAGCATGTGAGTGGGAAGCAGCCAACTGATGTGTTTCTCTCGCATCAATGTTTCTCTCTCTGTCCCTCCCACTATCCTTGGGTGAGGGTTAAAAAAAAAAATCATTCTGATTGCTGTGCTGAGAATGGTTTAGACCAAGAGAAGCAGTTAGGAAGCCAGGAGACCAGCACATATGTAATTTAATTATTTTCTTCTAACCATGTTTTAAAAAGTAATAAGAAACAGGTGACTTTAACTTAAGTAATATACTTAATTTAACCCAATATATGTGGCTACCATATTGGTCAGATATAGAACAGATATTCCTTTGCTCATTCAACCAAGCAAGGTCTTGTTCTGGAAATACACAGGATGGAGTAAAGCTCAATCTCTGGCCTCAAAGTGAACACAGGTCAGCTAGGGAGACTAATATAATAGCTTGTGCTGAAGACTTCAAAACAAAGTGCTTTGAGAGGTTGAGTAGGGAGGACCCAGAGGAGGGAGGCTTCAGAGAGAAGAGGGACACTGAAGTTGGGACTTTAATAATGTGTAAGAATTTTGTGGGGGGAGATTAAAGATGGTGGTGGACTTGAGTGGAAGCTACAGGGACACTCTCCCGGGACCAAACTGGAATTACAACGAAAATATAGAAAAACCATTCTGAATAATCAACTGCAACTGAAGACAAGTGAACACCCTTATAACCAAGGAGGAAAAGTGGAGACTGCATAGAGACTTGTGGGAAATGCAGAGGTGCGAGAGGGCTCGCTGGGCTCCCACAGGCAGCAGCTGAAGCTCCAGAGGGATATTTCAGCTGTGAGGGTTCCTACTGAGGACTCTGGGGCCTAAACCCCAGGCTGGGCTTCCCAGCCCAGAGCACCTGAACTGAGAAAGGTGCCCACATATCATCTGGCTGTGAAAAGCAGCAGGGTTTCTTTCTGCTAGGGAGAGGTGGCTGGAACTGCAGGCACCCTCTTAAAGGGCCAATGCACAAAGTCTCGAGTGCAGCCACTCACCTTGGGCTCCAGCAGAGGGAGGGCCGAGTGGACTAGAGCTGTGTGAGTAGAACCTAGGGTTGTGGGCTCTGGAGATAGAGCTCAGAAGGCACCCAACTGGATT